GCTGAGAAGGCCAATTCAAGAATGACAATCCCGTACACACTGAAGATAAATACAATCTGTACCCTGTCCAGCTCCCTGATTTTGCTGGGTTTGTGACTGCCTCTTTGCCTCGGCCTGCTGGACAAGGGTCTCTTCAAATTGGGAGAGGCCGTGATGCACCACCTGCCTCCAGGCTGAATGCTCAGATGTCAGGGTTTCCCATCTGTTCAGGTCCATTCACAAAGCCTTCAGATCCTGCTTGCAGATATTCTTGTATCACAGCTATGGTCTCCCTCTGGGGTGATTTCCCTGCACTAATTCTCCATACAGATCTTTTGGAATCCGACCATCAGCCATTCTCACAACATGCGCAAGCCAACATAGACGTCGCTGTTTCAGTAATGTATAGCTCATTCTAGAACTACTCTATTTGGAACTTAGTCCTGTCAGTTGATGCCAAAAATGCGTTGGAGACAACACATATGGAACGTGTTCAGCTTCCTCTCTTGCCATGCACAAAGGGTCCAGAACTCACTGCAGTACTGGGGTATGCTCAGGACACAGGTTCTATAGACTGGGATCTTGGCGTATGCTGTCAGCTTCTTATTGAGCCATACTCTCTTTGTGAGTCTTGAGAACATAGTAGCTTCTTTGCCAATGTGTTTATCTAGCTCAACATCTAGGGAGAGAGTGTCAGAGATAGTTGAACAAAGGTACACAAAGTCATGAACAACCTCCTGATTGTTAGTCCAAAGTCTTGGCAGGCCTTGCTAAAACGATTCATGAGTTGTTGGAGGTCTTCATCAGAGTGGGAAACAATGGCTGCATCATTGGCGAAGAGGAAGTCCCGCATGCATTTCAGTTGGACTTTGGTCTTTGCTCTCAATCTAGAGAGATTAAAGAGCTTTCCATCTGATCTAGTCCAGAGATAGACACCTTTTGTTGCAGTTCCAAAGGCGTACTTCAGCATGACAGCAAAAAAGATCCCAAAAAGGGCCGGCGTGAGGACAAAGCCCTGTTTCACTGTAGTTTGGATATCAAAGGGATCTGATGTTGAGCCATCAAATACTGCAGTGCATTCCCTCATGAAAGGACCTGATGATGTTAAGGAGTCGAGGTGAACATCCAATCTTGGGAAGTATTTTTAGAAGACCATTCCTGCTAACCAAATCATAGGCCTTTGTGAGATCTATGAAGGCCACAAAGAGTGGCTGTTGTTGTTCCCTGCATTTCTCCTGCAAATGTCTGAGGGAGAATACCATGTCGGTGGTGGATCTATTAGCTTGAAATCCACACTGGATTATTTTTTTTTAAATGACATGAAACACAAGTAAAAATAAATACATCATATAAACAACAAAATCGTTCAGTGCCTCTGTTTTGGGAGACTGGGGAGCACATTCTATTCGACAGAGAGATGGGGGAAGCACATGACCCATGCGTGCAACCAGCCAACCATCTGACCCTGCTACATAAATACCTTTTGTTTTCCTCAGTCACAAAACACAGGCCACAAACTAAAGGCTGAACAATACTTAGGAACTGCGTGTCACATGGATCAGCCCAATCAAGTTAAAAAATCCAAGCCAGCATGTCTGAGTGTCATGCAGTGATGATCATTTCCCTTAGAGCATGCTTTGTAGTGGATATACCTTTATATTACAACTGCCATATGCATGGCCCTTACTTTCCAGCATGATCTTCATGCTGTACAACATTGGCTGTATTAGCTAATGACTATTTTACACACACCTCCACATGCAGATACACATGCACACATAGAACAGTAGAAGAATCAAGATGTGGCATAGGGTGACTGTGTAAATTTCCTCCGGCTCTTCAGTGCTGCCATTGATCTAGATTTGAGACATGACAACTGTTTCATAACAGCTACCACTGGCATAATGAGTTATGTTTCATTAAACGCCCAGGAGGCAATTGCTGAATGCACTTTTAGGCAGTCTCAGAGATGATCCAGTTCAAACCTTTGCTGTAGATCAAGATCACCCATTATCGAAACCTCTCCACGATGTACTGGAATTTTAAACAGACAATTTCAAGCAATTTTGTGAGGGTTTGTTTGCTGTTTTTTTTTTAACTGAATGTTTAACATTTTATACTGGCTCATGTATATACTGGCTCACATTATGTAAGACGTTTTGTGAAGACTTTTTTCTCCATGAAGTTGTTTTCGGCAAAATAGCTATGTTAGGCTGCTTAAGCAGGTGTAACAAACACAAGAAGGAAAGAAGAATGGATACCATAAAAACCAAGAGATTTATTCCAGTGAACTTTTTGTAGATAAATATCTACTTCTTCTTCAGTTATTTTTAAACACCTAAATAAATGAATCTGGCCTCTGGGACTTCGTTCCCTGAAGCTTGAGTACTCATCACCATTATCTTAGAACTGCAGAGCTGGAAGAGACCTTCTGGATCATCAAGCCCAGCCCATCAAGGAGGCACAGTGGGGAATTGAACTCCCAACCTCTGGCTCAGCAGCCAGAGACCTAAGCCACTGAGCTGTCCAGCAGAGTAATATGTAGATTAACTTTGGCCTAGATGACTATGACATAACAAGCTATAGTAACAAGCTATAGGAAAGCTTTCCCATGATGGTACAGCAGAAATACTTGGGAACTGCTTGTCACATGGATCAGCCCAATCAAGTTAAAAATCCAAGCCAGCATGTCTGAGTGTCATGCAGAGATGAACATTCCCCTGGAGCATGCTGTATAGTGAATATACCTTCATATTACGACTGCCATATGCACGGCCCTTACTTTCCAGCATGATCTTTAAAACAACAACGACAACAAAAACCACTGAGTAAGAGAGAAATGATTTTAATGATTAGTTTCTCAAAATCGAAACTGCTGTGATAATGACTTTTGTTCTGGTCAGCATCCCTTTCATTGATACTTCCTAAACAACGTTATTAGCAATTAAGGCAGTGGGAGAGCTAGGTTTCCTAGATCAATGCAAAATATTTGGTAAGCAAATCTCAGGTTTGTACAAGCTAATTAGATTCATGCAGTGCAGCTGGGGATCTTCACCAGCAAAGAATGCCATGTTTGTAAAGTGGGTATGAATGAAACTCAGTGGCCACTGAGTTTCATTGGGACACCCCTCTTTTAATGAACCAGTTAAATCATATATTTGACATTATATGATATCAATACTTTTATTAATTTTATAGTCAGTGAACATGCCCTAACACCTTATGAATTTAACAGATGTTATTCCTGTTCTGTTATTGGCCATTGATATCAGAATGGCATACAGATGTTGTATCTTCCACAGCCTTGCTGTTTAGCTTCTGTGGTTACAAAAATGAATTTGAGTGAAGTGACAAGATCTTCTGATATGATCTTCAGTGCTGAACAACTGCTCAGCTGTGTTACACTTGCCACTACATGTAATCAGCTCATCTTCCAAGACTGTTGCCTCATTGCATTTAATGGGATAGAGTTAAGCATAGCTTTCCCTTTTCATCAGCTGGGTAGAAAAGTATTTCAATTGGGCTGGAGCATACTCAGTGTATGTGCACTAGTGCAAGTGTACACACACATGTGCATACACAGTCGGACCATTGTAAGTCAAGAGATGCTTAAAGTTTTCAAATTCATTTTGACCCTTCAGTATAGGTTTCCTGTGCTAGATAAGGTATTTTGTTTGTTTCTCATATCTGTCCAGTGTAGTTTTGTCCAAGTATCCACTGAGTTATCATAATGGATTATTCTTCTACATTGTGTATTTGGAAAAGTGTGTGGTGCCGTATTTATTACATTTGTCTATAATATTCTCAAAATACATCTCTCTCCTTTTGAAGTTATTTATCAGAAGAAAAAGCCAACATAAAGTGTTTTTCCCCAGTTCTCCCTGTGTGGGTTTCCTGTTATGATATACTTGTCTGTGCGGTCAACATGTTGATGCCATATAATCCCAACCGCCTTCTCTCTGGGTGTCTTCTTGCCATATCTCAAGTGTATTCTCTCATTCAAAAATATCAAAATATTTTCTGCAATTTCATGAAGTACTAATTGATTGGGCAACCAATAGGACGAGAAGCAAAATACATGCTTCTGGTCCTATTAAGGAAGTGCTTCAACAAAAAAATGGTAAGTGTTGTTTTGTGAAGAAAAATATACATTTGAGGAACTCCTTGGTACTTGTAAAAAAAAAAAAGCACTTGCAAAATCCACAATGTATTTTGCTGAAATGCTTAAAAATGGAGATTACTTTCAGGTTTGATGAGCATTCATCACACTAAGCTAAGCAATAGAGGCTTGGGATCAGATTCAATTCTAACGCAGTATAATGAAGGCTTCACTAATCTCAGGCACAGCTCTTGATTTAAAGATTGTTCTTGTTGTTTTTCTGGACTGATGCAGTTAAGCAGGGTTTCCTAATTTTATTTTTAATGAGTGAAAGCTAGAGGCATGCTTTCTCTTGCTGTTTAAAAATCTTATGCATGCTTCCCTAGAATTAAGCCCTGCAGTGTTCAAGATGCTTAGTTCAGGATGGCAAAAGCCAGTGGTGAATCTCTGAGATTCTGAATAAACAATATGAATATTTATAAAGCAGGCCAATCTATAGAAGGATCTGTTTGACTTCATTGTAGTTCAGAGACCATGAAACCTATACATCTGAAACTTGGCGAACATACCAAAGGGACTCTGGGGTGTGCATCTTGCTTTTATGTCATTTTAAAAAAGGATTGATCCATTTTAACATAGTAAAAAACTGTCCATAGATTGCAGTAGCATGTTAAATCACTAGGTGGCAGACCTTGAATTCCTCAGGAGTAAGAAGACTACTCAGGAGCATTCTCCTCCACAAGAGCAGGACGTTTTGAGCCTCTGAGCAAATTTATCCAGCTGCTTTCAGGTGGGGCTAGAACGAGTTTTCATTCCTGGTCTGCTAGAGTGTCTCAGTACTGGAACCATACAATCTCCCTTCTGGGTAACCCTATATCTCTTCATTTGGAATGACCGAGAGGGGCTTTGAGAATTCCTGCTGGTTGTTATGTGGCAGGGGAAGACGATGAGGAAAGGAAATGAAGGAGAGGTAAAGACTGAATGAGCAGAAAGTGATGGAGGGAGAAAAGAGTGAGAAAGCAAAGAGGTGGAAAATACAATTGACATGTGGTCCTTTTGGCTGGGCTTTGCTTGAAACTGTGAGTGACAGTTATGCATATTGTTGTCTTGAAGCAAAACGAAGTTCCAAGGGGGGAAATATTCAGCAGTTTGAAAGATGTAGGCAAATGTTTATGAATGGAACTGTGTCTTGATTGGTTGTAGTGGGGTTTTCGGGCTCTTTGGCCATGATCTGAAAGTTGTTCTTCCTGATGTTTCACCAGTCTCTGTGGCCAGCATCTTCAGAGGACTGGAGTAGGAACTCTGCTCCCTCTCACCTCTCTACTTCCTTCTGTTGCCGCTGCCACCACCTTCCTTATTTCTTAACTATCTGGGGAAGCATTTCTCCTAAAGCAAATGGTTTCTAATGTATTTTTCTTGATGTACATAGTTTATGTACTTTCCCATTGACTAAAGCATGTTTGTGTGTGTATTTAACGGTATGCATGTTTTAGTTGCATTATTCATAAGTATTTGCAAAGAATTCATGAAAGAATCTGAGGCTGACAGGAAGCTTGAAAAATAGTCACCTATTTTCATCTCCCAGAGCACAAATTGCATAAATTCATAGAAACATTCAGATAATGTGGATATCTTCTTCATTCTCAGTGGTAAGTAGGCTAGTAAAAATGTTTATGAGCTACTGCCTTTTTCAGGGGTGGGGATGGGGTTAGGGTTTTCTTCAAGTCAGGTTCAGATACTTAGACATACTCACACTTGTTGCGGAGACTAGAGGCTTAATTATCTACTCAAGAGACAATGCCGTCCTCTGGCGGTGATAGCTGGGGAATTATGGGAGAGTCCTCAAAGGAGAATGTTTGCACATGAGAATGTTTTGTAGACTACGAGAACGAAATGAACAAAGACCTTGGTAATCTACAAGGTCTTTTCCTTGATTTCTCTTTGGCTTTACTCTCTCTGATTAAGACACATACATTACATAGAGTGTTTGGTTTATCTCAGGCTAATCGAAAGCAAACTTGAGAGTCCAGAGAGGAGAAATGCAGCTGGGTAAAACACCAACTCACACAACTATTAATAGATTTACAGTGGTCGTGACTGCTTGTCAGACATGTAAGATGCTTCTTAAGGCAGAACAGAGAAGGATTTTGAAAAGCAGCAAGAGAATCCAGAAGGATCTTGTGGAAGAGGATTGACCTCTAACTGAAGACCACAACACTGACTTGCTTAACAGCTTAAAGGATTAACTGTGAGTGAGAATGCCAGAAGCTTCAAGATTTATTATGACTTTACAGAGAAGCTTATCTAGAAGAATCGATCAGATTAAACTGAATATGTGGTGGACTTTTAGGGGCTATGATCTTAATGCTTTACCCTTTGCAAGGAGTTCCCAGACGATCACTGGGTCATTGTAGTGCTTCCGAGGACAACTTACCTTTAGAAAACTTTCCAAACTGTGATGAAAGTGCTAAGGGGTATTGATGATGTTATTAATGATGGTGATGATGATGCAATTGCCTCATCTTCTCTATGTTTCCCTCTACCAAATGTGGTGCAGACAAGATAAGCAATGATTTATCATGGCACATCAACAAATGATGTACATATTATCCCATTGAGCATCTGTATGTAAATTGGGGAGCTGCCAGGGCAAAAGCTATAGAACCCATTGTTCCATATACAACTAAGGTTGCAAGCTGGAGCATCTCCTTTGGAAAGAAAAGGTTTTCAAAAATTGGAAACTTGTCTCCTCACAGAAGGAGCTGCTTGAATGCTGAGATTCAACCGAATGGGTTTCTCAGCACTCATTTGGGTTGTCCAAAGAAATAAGGAAATATTTGCATTTTTTCAGACATCCTTAACATTTACATGAGATTGTCACTATTCACCTGTCCATATATATTAGATTTGATCATTGTTGGGTTTTGGTTTCGTTCTGTTTTTCCTTTTCCTTTTATTGTTTACACTTCTGATTAATGTGCCCAACACATCAAGTGTAGAAGGAGGCTGCCAAGATATGTGGAGCAATATTCTGGACTTCTGGAATGGCAAAATTCTGCTTGAGTTCCATTTTTGGCAGCAGCAGTCATCACAGCGCCTAGAGTTTTGAAACTTTAAAAGAGATGATAAAATGTTCCAGTTATAAAGAGAACTGACCTTCCAGGCATGCTTAAGCACAGCAATTTATACTCTGCTCTAGTTATGGTCTGAGCCGTTTCAGTTTCACTATTGTTAGGCTCAGTTGAGGCACTCATCCTCCCTCCTGCAGAGGAATATTAGGATTTTTGAGAGCTCCCACTCTCTGTCTGCAGTCTATGGGGTTAGTGGGTCAAGAGGCTTACAGGCTTCAGCTCACATTCCCAAGTTATCACATCAGAATTTTATGCACATCTGGCTAGTAATCGTTCAGTTCAAGGGGATTTTCTCCTAGGTAAGTGTGTGCAGGTTTTGCAGCCCAAATTTTCACCTTTTCACATGTTTCTTGGATGATTTAGACCGATGCTTGAGGAAAGGAGTTGGGACATGCTGATTAGTTTTATCTTGATGCCATGTTAGCCCTTCTCTCTCCTGGCCCTTGCATGTGTAGCATGAATGGCTACAGAAAGGAGGGTCTATCCTGAATAGGTGTACTGTACATCCAAAAGGTTCCACATGATCTGAAGCTGTGAAGAACAGAACAATCTCAAGAAGGGATGTGCTGTTTCTTCCTGTCAAAAAAAATTTCCAGATACACACACCCTGCTGTTGGCTTATACCTAAAAAGAACATAATGAGGATTCTAAACTACAATGTCCACCCTGGCCTTCTTTGAGTTTGTAGATGGCTGTACTGACGCTGAGAATATTATCCCAATGCAGGGTAATGAATCCTGCTTTTTTAAAAAAAGAGCAATGTATTCTGTGATAGTTTTCCGTCGTGAAAAGGGCAATTAAGATGAACTAGAAGGACATGCCAGCAGGAAAGGCCAAAGATCAATTTGGACCGGAGTCTTACTTAGTGTTGCTGCTGGACAGTTGGCTGCTATATACAAATACATCATTGTGTTTTATTAAAGAATAAAAAGTGACTGTATGGAGGGCTCTCATAAATATGCCTCTACTTTGTGGGTACAGAGTATGCAGAAAGTGTATTTCATTGGGACATTTTGTTCTACTGGGCGAACATGTGAAATGGCTACATTAGTTGCAGGTTCTGATCTTTTATGGCCAAAGTATTAATATCCCTTCTGAAGCCTTAGCTGTTTTGTAATCCATTCTGTTTCTTAGGCAATGGCTTGCTTCTGTTGCAGTGTGGTGACTTCTGTCAGTGCTATAGGTCCAAGTATCTCATGATATACCAAACCCCAGAGCCATAATGAGCTCTTTTTTTGGCATTTAGGGCAAATGGCACTGTCTCCCAGCCCCTCTGCCCTGAGGAATGGATGCAAGCTTCCGCTAAAGAAAAGAAGGATGGGAATGTGCTGCCCTCGCCTCCAAAAAGAGAAGGCTTATGTGCTCCCATACCAGGAAAAGTGAATAAGGCCCAGAGATATTGCTACTGTATTTGTTATTCCAGCATTCAGCAGTAGATTCACCTCTTGATTTTGGCACCCTCTAAATTTTGGCGCCATGAGGCAAAGTTCCAGTTGCTCCTCACTCCCCGGTTACAGCACTGCCAAATCTCCCTTGTACTTTAATTCAAATCTGTGAAATGCACAAGCCATTTCACTTCATGTAGAGTTAATACATTCACAGAATTCAAGTGTACTTCATATGTAACTCCGCAAAATTCATGGGTGATACAGTCTGTTATCCTATATATACACTTTCCTGGGAGTATGCTTCATTGAACTCAGTGGATCTTTCTTTCAGATAGTATTGTTACCAGATCTGACTGTTGGCCTATTATATGCTGAGCACCCATTGCCAATAGCATGAATTTAATTGTCGGTTCAGTGTTATGAGAAGCAAGCTGTTGCATGTACAGGAATTACAGCTGCATATACAGTCATATTCACAGGGTGATCCACTAACTACCTAGTCTAAATAATTTGTGCTGCAAAGGAATAATGCTTATTTTCCCAGCAGCAAATAAATAATTAAGCCAACAACTGTTAAAACAAATTACAACGGGGGGTGAATATTTAGATACGTGAAACACTTGCCAGAATTTGCCACGTTGCCATTCTTCTTATGAATGCAATGCTCCAGAGTTAGAATTTATGTTCCATCTCATGTATTTTACCTCAGAAATTTCAGCAGTTAGAGTATTTTTTGCCGTTAGAAGGCAATAACTGTAAACTTTTCCCAGGTTACTGCTGTCAAATACCTTGGCATGTTATCTGTGAAATGATATCGATATATAATGAATACCATGCATCAATTATTTAATAATGCTACAAGCAAATTATGTAATAACTATCAGTTATAATATCAGCCAGAATCCTATTGGTATTTGCATAAGATTTAACTTGCTGCAGCTAACTGCAGCTAATTGGCAAAGTGCTGGGGTGTTTCTGGGCAATGTTCCCAGTCATGCACCCAACTGGATAATTCAGTTTCATCCTGACACCTTGCTAATTAGCCACAATTAGCTGCAGCAGATTATAATAAGAACACCAATAGGATTCAGGCTATCAGTTATTGAAATAAAATATAATTGCTTTTTTAAAAACATATTTGAATATTCAAGGAATCCCTTGAATATTCAAGGAGAGGGAGGAAGAGGTATAGTTTCATCAGCCATAAGACGATCACAACATTTTATGACTTTTTGTTGTCAGCTCTTCAGGATAGTGGCAATATGCAAAACTGTTTGATCCCTTGGAAATAAGCACACTGTTTATTTATTTAAAATATTTCCCCTTGTCTTTCTCCTAAAAAGGACATAGGGTGACTCATAGTGTTAAAAAAAGAGGACAGTATAAAAGCTAAAAATAATAAATTGTTACAGTATTAAAAACAATTAAATATAATCTTAAAGACTCACAGA